ATCATTCACCATGTTCAAGTCCATTCTTACCACGGGGCTCTTGGCTGCGGCTGCCGTAGCCCAGCAGACAACCTCATATGTCGACTCCGCAACTGGCATCACCTTCCAGAGATACACCGAAACCTCTGGATTCTCGTTTGGTGTTGCCCTGCCTTCAACTGTTGGCAAGGACTTTATCGGCCAGATCTCTGCTCCCATCACCGCGGGATGGGCCTCCGTCTCTCTGGGCGGTCCCATGACCAACAAGCTCCTTGTTGTTGCGTGGCCCAACGGAGACTCTATCCAGACTTCCATCCGAAAGGCGTCAGGATACTCGAACCCCGACGTCGTGACCGACTCCGGCATCACTCTCAAGCCTATTGAGTCTGGCACCTCCGTCAACGCCACTGCCTTCACTTACACCTTTGTGTGCGAGGGATGCATTACCGGTGACACAACCACCTTCACTGGCACTTCTGATACCACCACCTTTGGCTGGGCTTACTCGACAACTGCCCTGTCCGACACCACGAGCGCTTCTGTCGCTCTCAACTACCACGGTGCTGGATTTGGTCTTTTCGGTGCAAACCTCGCCTCTGCCAAGTCCGCCGATTACGCGACTTGGGCCGCGAAGGCCTCCGATGCCGTCTCCACTCCCGGCACTGGCAACGGAACTTCCCCGTCCGTCCCTGCTAACATCACCACCACGATTTCCAACACTACCTACGATTACATCGTCGCCGGTGGCGGCGCCGCTGGTCTTATTGTTGCCGAGCGTCTGGCCGAGTCCGGAAAGAGCGTCCTTCTCCTTGAGCGTGGAGGACCTTCTTTGGCGTCCAGCGGTGGCAAGGCTACCGTCGACTGGAACAGCACCGTCACCCAGTACGACGTCCCTGCCATGGGCTACTACCTCTCGACCGCCAAGGAGACCAGCGAGTACTGCACGGACACCGCTTCCCAGGCTGGCTGCATTCTCGGTGGCTCTACCATGGTCAATGCCATGATGTGGGTTAAGCCTCCCGCTCACGACTTCGACGACAAGTGGCCCACAGGCTGGAAGTGGAGCAGCGTTGAGGAGTCTGCCAACAAGCTCTACGAGCGAACCCCGGGAACCATCCTCGCCAGCAAGGACGGAAAGCGTTACGACCAGGGCGCCTACGATATCATGTCCCAGTGGCTGGCCGGCAATGGCTTCAGCGAGGTTGACGCTCTTGCCGAGCCCGATAAGAAGGAGGCAGTCTTCACCCACCCTCCTTGGTTGATTGAGAACGGTATGCGTGGCGGTCCCGTCCGTGACTACCTGCCTCTTGCCCAGGCTTTGCCCAACTTCAAGCTGCAGCTTAACGCCAAGGTCATCCGTGCCATCCGCAACGGTACCACCATCTCTGGTGTCGAGATTGAGACTGCTACCAACGTTCGCCAGATCATCAACCTGAAGTCCGGCGGCGCCGCCATCCTGGCTGCTGGTGCTCTCTCTTCCCCTCGTATCTTGTTCAACAGCGGTATTGGCCCCAAGGAGCAGATCCAGACTGTTCAGAACGGAACCGCTCAGGTCACCCTCCCCGCCGAGGCCCAATGGATCGACCTCCCCGTCGGCCAGAACCTCAAGGACCACCCCATCTTCACAGTCAACTTCAAGACCAAGTCCACCCTTAACTCTCTGGCCAGCACTGCATTCACCGCCCCTAGCCAGACCGACGTTGACCAGTTCGCTCAGGGATCCGGACTTCTGAGCCAGGCTGGACAGCGCCTGAACTTCTGGACCAGTGTCGAGGGCTCTGATGGTGGCAAGAGATACGTCCAGGGCACTGTCAACTCTCCTGCCAACGACACTATCCGCGTCAAGGTCTACCTCACCCACGGTCTCACCTCCGTCGGCGCTCTCGGCATTTCTGCCGACGGCTCCACCAAGCTCACCACCGAACCCTACCTTACCACTACTGAGGATAAGGAGGCTATCACCAGCTTCATGAACCAGCTTATCCAGTACGCCTCCAAGTCCAACAGCACCCTGACTCTGTCCGGCAACGTCACCGCCGAGAGTCTCATCTCCGAGCATACCACCGGTAGCCACTTTGTCGGCAGCGCTGTCATGGGCTCCACCAACGACGGAAACAGTGTCGTCGATACCAAGACCAAGGTCTGGGGCACTGATAACCTCTATGTCGTCGATGCCTCCATTCACCCTGACTTGCCCACTGGTAACACCCAGGCTATTGTCATGGTTGCGGCCGAGCACGCTGCCGCCCAGATCCTTGGAGGAGCTGGTAGCGCTACCAACTCTGGCTCTGATTCTAGCTCCGGTTCCGCTTCCGGCTCTGGCTCCGGCTCTGGCTCCGGCTCTGGCTCCGGCTCTGGCTCTGGCTCGACTGGTTGCAAGCGTTCTGTCAAGCGCCTCGAACGCCTTCAGCGTTTCCGTCGCGCTCACCACAGCTTCTAAATATGTGGATATGCTCTTTTATGTGTATACTTCTAAGTGTGGAAACTTGCCATTTGTATATAAAAGTAAACAGTACCAAGACTTGATTTCAGCAAAGTACTCTTGCCATTGTTGATTCCTTTCCGCTTTGCATAGATAAATTATGTAGCTTGATGGGAAGATGATGTGTAGCTGCCAGATTGTAAAGTTTGGTGAACACGACTGATGTTGATGACTAAACCCACGTCCGTGGGAAAGAAGAAGGAAAATAAGAAAAGATGACACATACTTCTTAGATCAGTCGCTCCTTTCTGAGCAATAATCTTACATCACCAAACAGGGCTCTTAAACCAAACAAGGCTGATGTGAAATCTAATTATACACCAGTGTGGTAAAGTTATACGTAAGGCGTGTTCAGAATAGTTGACGCTTCGACCTCTGCGATTATTGATAAAGCGAAAATACCTGTGGCACACGGTGACTCTTTGGGAATGTCGATTGGCAAATTTGCTTGTTTTGAAGGTGGCTACTTAGATTTACCAAGCTTACTTGTACCGGGCGGGCTGTGACTATGTATAAGTGTCGACCAGTTTATGAGAGAGAAGAGGCGAGAAAACGGTGTGCCTTAAGTGAGAGGCTAGGAAAGTTAGAGGTCCCCGAGTCCACAATAACGAAGCATCGCATGGCAGTGTTCGGAACAGGTGCTCCCTTTACTTATCTTTGTGATTTGCACGATTATTGATGATAGTATTGGTCGAGGCCTGCATATGTAGATAGGTTTTATGACAGTGATGAGTGATTTGAGCCGTCTATCTATTGCGCTCGTCTAAACTGAATAGCCGCAAAGAACATCTGTATTCCTGGGTTTCGACTAACTAATCTTGGTACTGTTTGCGGTTCTTTTGGGCACAAACACTGCTTCTAGCGTCTTTTCGGGATCTGGTGATTTGCTAAGGCTTCAGCTTCCGCTAAAGGCATGTTCGGGATGTTTGGCCGTAAGTCAAAGATCGATGGCAGAGATGGGCGAGCGGCCTGATAAGTGCGATGGCCTTCTTGAAAGTTGATTCAACCTACCAAGCGGATCCATTTACGGGAACGGTCATAGCATTGCTGAACTAAATCTCCGGTGGTTGCGTGGGAGAAACGGTCTCGTTCAGGAATGGCGAAAGCTCTTTAGTTCAATAATGTAGTCCACGGGCTATACGAAACTTCTATGAACGATTTCCCCGAACCTGGGAAGAGAGAACCCATCCGGCAAGCCTACCTCCAGACGCTTCGAGATGCGTGCTCGTATCCGGGAGAAAGTCAGTCATCTGGAAAAGGAGCATCCGTTCCGCTGGAGACCATTTTTTACCAAACTGCGGACGAATGTCTCAAGGCGGCGTAGACACTATCGGGCCAATAAGTAACGTGTTCGCGTTGGCCGTTGAGTCTCACATGATACCTGCGGGTTGCCGCGTCCCTGTGGAGCATTGTTTCGTATTTGGGGGCATGCAACATAGGTAGATGAATATAGTTTATTACGCCCGGGAAAGAATCTTCACAGCGGATTGCTACGTTAAATTGTCTACGTCTCTCTTACTGTCGTTCCGACCAGCTTAGTCCTGAAGAAGATCAAGCTTGGCGGGTGGGACATGCAAGGATGGGACCGAGCATACCAATCACGACAAAGGATCGATGATAAAACCAGTTAGACATGGCCTCAGAGTAGAGGTCCCACACGCTTCGCTTCCAGAAGGCAAACATGTAAGACTGAACTCACTCGTGTGTTACGAGCGACGGTGCCCAACGGAGGTGACGAGCATCCACGTACGGCCTACGGACTCGGAGGTCGGAAGTTTCCCAAGACCAATGCTGAGTACTTTGCTAGAGAGACTCCAGTACATGCTTCAAGCAACTAAAAACGTCAAGATCCCTGCTTAAGCAGTGCGTCCCAAATCCCATCGGAAAGCCTAGGAAGCTCTCGGTACAACCATTCCCACACAAGTCGTTATTATTCATGGATCCAAGTAGCATTAGGTATCAAGGTCCAGTCGTGTTTGGCATATTCTGCCTGTACCCTCTTTCTCTGAGCTTGATTATAAAGCCTTCTTCAACAATTCCAGTGTTCTGGGCATTAATTATAGTCTACCACAGTATTTCTATGTGGTGTTCATCGGGTGCTAAATGACAATAAAACAACCACGCCTTCTTCTCTATATTTGGTCTCTATCGTTAAGTTATAACCATGGAACTGATACTTTATTCTATTCCGCGCTTACTCAGTTTAACAGGGTCTCGCTCGCTTACTAGCAGAGGCGCAGCTTGCGGCCTGCTGGCTTGCTTACATCTAGCGCTTACACGTGCTACCATTGAACCAAGCTTTGAAAAGAAACTAAAGCTTGGCGTGAAGGAACCTCTCCGTAGGATGTTACTCAAATTTTTCCGTAGGACACGGAGAAACTTCAGAAAGTTCATGATAATACAAGTCTAAGAGTATATAAAGGACATTCTGATCACTGTTTATAACTCCTAACAACTCCATCTCATCCCTCTTCATAAGTCTCTTGCCCCAGAACAACAACTTTGCCACTTTCACAAGGATTCTACTTCTTTACACACAATGAAGATCACTCTATTCGCTGTCACTCTTCTTGCTTCGCTGGTATCCGCCAGAGAATTCGTTTTGTTTGATGATGCCAACTACAATGGTGCTTCTCATAGGGAGATACGCAATACCGATGGCGCCTGCTGTAAGTAGTGTCAATTATCAGATTCACCAACTCCATGCTCAAGAACAATATAGGGAATCTCAACGGCAAAGGCGATCGAGCAAGTTCCGTCGGAGGTGATGGAGGATGTACTACTTTCTTCCGGTGAGAAACCTCTTCGTCTCTCTACTCACATGGCTTACCTGTTGGCATAATATCAGAGAGCGTGACTGCAGGGGATCCAGCTGGCAGCAGCGCGGTTCTGCACCCACTGTTCCAGGTTTCCTTAATGACCACATCTGGTCATTCCGCAACCAATGCTAATTGGTCGTCACGTCAATTCTGGAAACAAATCTGGGCTACTTGTCCTTGTTGATTCTTCCACGAGGATCACCAAGCATCTGGCATACGAATACAGAAATATCTCTGGTCATAAGAATGGAAGAGGGAAGGAAATGCATGTTCTGAGTCATTTCATGTCTCCAGCTTCGCACAAGTCCGTTGCGATTAGTGTTACCAACAAAGCCCGTTGTCAGCTGCCTGTAACGCAAGAACCACAGCTTATACTCCGTCCATCGGACTTTGAGCCAGCACTCATCACATGTCAATAAACAACTTTGAACCGGGAGGGATGCGTTGCAGCTTCAGCATTATAAGATTGTGATCCATCGCTTGTTTGAGACATTGATTCGTCAAAGTCCCTGTTTCTGAAGCTCTATAGATTCATTTAACTTATTCAAAACATTGAAGATGGCCTGGTTGGGCGAGTATGCGCGCTCACAGCCCGCCGAAAAATATCCTTCTTGACATAATCTGTTGTCAATTACTTGTGTATGTCTACCTGGAGGTTCCGAAGTGGCAATAGACATTTGCCTGCTTAGTTTCTTTATTCAAAGATCTGGACCTGAGAATCTCCATGGTTCTCTTCCCCAAGTTATACCACGGGTAGAAGCCGCCTGTGTGTTGATGCTCGTCGCGATGGGCGACTCGGAAACGTGTAAGAAAGTAGAGATGAGAATTCGTCGGTTGTACTGCTTGTCCCCAAGATTGGGTTCGAGGTATTCAGTGGACTTCTATTTACGGATTTATCTTTTCGTGGGCAAAGCTCAAGTCAGACGCAAAGACTAAATATCTCTAGCCCCCCTTGTACTTCCAGAAATTTCTCAATGAGGAGGATGTCGAACTGTTAGCCCGGTCGCGATGTATAATGGTAGAGGAATTGGTTTGAGATGTGTCAAGAATGTGTAAAGGCCCCCTTCTATCTCTACTATGACAAGCGACTTCTGCCTCGAGTCCTATACTTCTTCCATGCCCTCTTGAAACCGCACATGGCGACAATTTCTCTCAATCCGGCCACGGATATGGCTAGTCGCCAGATCGTGCGCCCATGGACGTAGCGCAGCTAAAACGTACCTACCCAATCGCTCAACAACATCACTCCGTCAACACCCGCCGCACCCACTCCAGCTTTGTCGCGATAGACCGGCGTCCCAACCACGAATCTGGTGCCATCTCGTCAAACCCGTGGAAGCCGCCCGCCCATACGTGTAACTCTGCCGAGACCCCGGCCGACCAGAGCCGCGACGCGAACTCCACTGCTTCATCACGGCAGAACTCGGCGGAGCCCGCCTCAATGTACGCGGGCGGTAACCCCACTAGTGTCTCGGCCCGCGCAGGCGCCCAGTATGAGCTTATAGTGTCGCCGGCCCGGGTCCGGGCCCCGGCGCGCTCGCCCAGCGCGATGGCCCACGCCGCCGCGTTCTTAGTCCGGTCCCATGGCTCTACGCCGTCATCGAACTGCGCGCAGCTGATGGAATTGCAGCGGTCGTCGAGCATTGGGCAAGGCAGCATCTGCGCGTGTACCGGAGGGTTAAGCCCCGCGTCGCGCGCCCGCAGCGCGAGCCCGGCCGCCAGCCCGCTGCCTGCCGACTGCCCGGCCACCAGGATGCGCGCTGCGTTAATACCTAGTACGCCTGCTGACGCCTGCACCCATTTCAGTGCCGCGAAGCAGTCATCCGACGCTGCTGGCTGCGGGTGCTCCGGCGCGCGGCGGTACTCGACGCTTATGAGCACGGCGCCTGCGGCCACAGCCCAGTCCAGCGGCTGCGAGAGTCCGACGAGGCGGTGGAGGAAAATTAGGCCACCGCCATGCGCGTATAAGATGCAGGGCCACTGCTTCTTATCACTCACTGAGGCCGCATTGGGCGTGAAGATGGAGAGCGCGATGGGAGGGTCATTCAGGCCAAGGCCGGGGGCCGTGTGCTCGGCGTACGTGAGGGGCCGGTCGCCTATAGCTTCTGCGGCGGCGATGTGCGGGGCTTCTAAGGCACGGTCGGTGCGGGCGTGGTGATTGATGACGAACTCTGGGGTAATGGGGCCGAACGGCTCAAAGGCAGCTTGGATGGGCGCGAGCTCCGAGTCAAAAGGGGGTCGGGGGAGCCGCATGATAATGCGTATTTTATGGGGGGGAGAGGGATGTGGTAGGATGAAAAGAGAGTGTGTAAGTGAGCTGCGAGTATGCGTACCTCATAGATTGGTTCAGGAGAGAGGAGAGGCAACGGGACAATTTAATTGAGGAACTTGGAACCGCAGTGATCAAGATGAACAACGAGAATGTCCCTAGATGCTTGACGACGAGGCAACGTCTGTATCTTGGCGGCATTCGTAGCAGATACTGTCTTTGCGAATCCTTCACAACAGGCGACGTGGAGTTGCCGGTGATGGTGACAGTGGTCGAGATCGATCTATGTAGGCAAGTATATGCGAGCGGCGAGTGACAGGGGCCGCTAATTCATCTCGCTCATCCGAGATGGATAGCAGCAAGGGCTCTCTGCAGTTCAAAGATCCGTCTGGGAATACCCCTCTTGGGGCGTATTCCCATGAATGTTCCCACAGTGAACGGCACCGTGTACTTTCAGGACCCCGTTTTGATGCAGTCATGCAGTCTACCCTGGTCTGACCTACCGTAGTGCGGTGGAGGCAAAGTGGACATTCCAACATAGGAAAGAGGACGGGGAGGGGGTGTGAGTTGTGTTGGGCCACCAGACTTGACCCCGGCATGTTGACGTGGATGCAATTGAAAGCACTCACAATTTGGGTTTCTGTGAAGTTGATGAGAGTACATCAGCAGTAAGCCATAGCCATAGGTCAGCAACGACTTCAAGTATAGATATTGGCAGACGGCAGTTAAATACTTAGGCAAGTTGACTCATTCATTCATTCGATTTACCTTACCTTACCTCACTGAACATCATCAAGATTGGCCATCTTCCTTTCGAGCCAAGTGACTTTCTTTCTTCTTTCTATCTAACACACTTTCTCCCAAGACTTTACTCATTACTCTCAACAATGTCCCTTCCCCCTATTCCTCAGCTTGATCCTGCTACCTTTCGCTGGCACCCGTCGCCTGATGACCCCCGAGCCGTACGGCGCCTTGGGCTCGGCACCGAAGCTTGGGTCGGCCTGCGCGGCCCCAACTCTCGCGGGCAATATGATAACTACCTCAATACTACCCTCCGTATCGAAGCTGCCGGCCTTTCCTTGGCTGGCCTTGCGCGGCATCTCGCGGATGCGCTGGTTCATCTCCGGTTTTACCACCCCGAGGTCGCTTGCACCACCGCCTGGGCCTCCGAGTACGGACCCCCGCACATCATCTACACCCCTCCGACGTGCGAGGCCGAAGTCCTGCAATGGGCGCGGGCCGCCGTTGCCGTAAGATCCACGTCCCAGACCGGGCTGCAGGTTGCGGCCCAGATCGGCAAGCAGCGCCAGATCGACCCCGCCAAGTCCCTCCCGCCCGTGACGCTCGTCGTCGTGGCTGACGTGCAAAACGAGGAGGGGTTGCTGGCAGCCGGTGCACGCGTGGACGTTCTCGGCGTCTTTAATCACATCCACTGGGATAGCATCAGCGCGCGTGTTTTCGTGGGGGACCTGCTGCGCCGCCTTGGAGAGCAGCTAGGTGCCAGTAAGTCAGAGACGGCGTCGTCGCAGTACGCGTGGGGTAGCGAGATCGCGAACCTGAACGTGCCCGTTCTCGATGCGTGCAAGGTTGATGTCGGCGCTTTAGGCGAGGACTACAAGAAGACGCGGGATGAGTTCATCGCCGCCCTCCTCGAAAGCGGAGTGAGTTTCTTCCTTCAAACGCCTTTCTTCCAAAACATCATCCATCTCTCTCCGCTGCATTACCACAGCTAATGCCTCATAGTCTAGCTGGGGCTTACCTGTTGCTGCTGATACCGGCGCACCTCGCACGATATGGCGCACATTCACCGTCGAGCAGAGTGCTGCTATCAAGGCCGCCATCAAGACGCAGCTTGGTCCAAATTACACCGTCACTCACCTCGGCCACGCCGCCATGGTCCTTGCCCTGCTCCGGGCCCGGCCTCTCCCCGCCGACGTCTCGGATACGGTCGTCCTTGCCTCGCCGCTGCCCGTGAACGGCAGACGTTACCTTCGCGGCGACGCGGCGCAGCGCTATGGCTCGTGCCAGGCCGGCGCCTCAGTTGAGTTCGCACCGTTGCGCGAGTGGACCGTAGATGAGAGCAATGCCGATGCCGTGCGGACTACGCTGGGGGCGCTGGCAACGCACGTCAAGGACGGCTATGAGTATTGGCTACGAAATGAGTCTCAGCTCGCCGTCGACCAGGCCAAGGGCAATTTTCTCGCAAGCGTGCTCGGGTCGTACGTATTTTCTTATGTCAATGTTTGATCACTGGGTGCACCGGCTGACACGGCGTGTAACTGATTAGTGCACCGCCATCGTTCCCGCCTACTAGCTTTCCGGTCCGTATCTTGTCCTCCAGACCATTCTCCTCAATATGACGGATCTTTGTATTCTGACATTACGCTTCTCTTGCAGGTCTTTGCCAGCGACGGCATCGTGGACAAGTACATCCCTAGAGAGGTATTCGGCGCGGGCGAAGAGAAGCTCCTCGTTGTGGAAAGCTGCTTGTTTCACCTGGATACTTATCTCTCCGACGTGTGAGTACATGTGTTCCTCATAGTCTTTGAAAACCCCAATGATTTGGCTTGCACCTGTTGCCGGCAACATGCTAACCACTACACCTTGCATAGGCTCGTCAGGATGGACAGCTGGAAGGGCGCCACGGGGCTGTCCATTTGCTTCAATGACGGCCGCTTGAACGCGACGCTTGCAGATCAATTTCTTGGCTACATTACAGAGTTCATGCTGAAGTTCGCGGAGCAGTAATTGGAGCTTATCTTACATGGAACGTTGTCGAAAGAAGGTGATGGCGCTGGCCGGTGTGAGATGCTGGACACTATCGTCCTAGACATGTAGAATACACACGAGCATAAAATAAGCATACAAGCTTGGTTTACTTAGATTTGTCCATCGAAATGTAATCTCTAGATTGCAGGGCCCATCCCTAAGCAAATTGAAGAACGTCAGTCAGAAAGTTGGCAGGATACATCTTTCAAGCTAGCTTGAGAGGGTAGCATAATATCATCGGCTTCTCAAAAAACGTGCATAATTTCAGAGTGAATCATGGATCCAAGTTCGCAGATTATCTTCTGTTGTTGTTCTTTTCAATCTTCTTCTTTGATTAAAGAAATAAGTAAAAAAATCCAGTTCGTTGCATTCAAGGCTACGAATCAATCAATATAACACGACAATTAACATCCAGTCCTAGCACAAAATTCCACGAAAGACTCATGAATGCCCAAACTGCTGACGAAAAATATTATCCACACTTTTTATGAAAACAACCAAAACTTGTCACCTCTCCGAACCATCTTCTCATTTCGCCGCGTCTTTTATTACCCTTTGAACGACCACCTCCAGCTCCCGGGCAAGTTCCTCCAGCCTTTCTAGACTAAAGTTGACCGTGTTGGCGCTGTACCATAGGTTCCATGTCTCGGTCTCTGGGTCCGGCCGCGCGATGAGCCACACCTCCTCCGAGTGATCCCACACCTTGTCCGGTCCGAACCAGCCGAGCTCCTGACAGCACTCGCCATCGCCCATAAGATCCACCGTGAACGGCTCCGGGTTCTGGAATTGTAGAATGTACGTCGACCGACGTTCATCGGGCTGCCACGACGCTGCGGGAGTGCAGGCCTCGAACAGCGGCGTGACCGTGCTCGTCTCGAAACCGAGCACGTCGAGCTGCGCCTGCCGCGTTGCCTCGAGCGTGCCTTCAAATGTCTTTTGAGCATCGAGTCGCACACGCAGAGGCACCATGTTAACGGTTGGGCCAACGACGTTGGCCAGCGCGGGCGGAAGTGTGGAACGGCCCGACACTGTCATGGTCGTCACCACGTCATCAGTATCGCGCAGCTGAGCGAGCGCCTGCACACACGCCGCGACGTAAAGATTCGCCGCTGTGAAACCATCGAATGCGGGCGGCGCCTGGATGGCGCGCTTGATAGACACAATCTCAGCGGGCTGCCCCGTAGGGGTCAGCGCGAGAGGCTTCGAACCACAAAGCACCTCGCGCCAGTGAGCTAGCATCCTATCCTCCGCCTCGCATATGCACTCAATGAAGCCCGAGAAGCGCGCCATGGGTGCCAGAGCCTTGCCCTGAAGGCTGGCCGCGAAGCAGTCGAGGATGGGTGTCAAGCTGGTGCGGTCGAAATGGGCATGGGAAAGCCGGAGGCCCCAGCGCGTGGACTGACCCACACCGTGAAGAACGTAGAACCGCGTGTAAAGAGATCCCGGAACCATGGCAGGCTGGAGGGCGGCGTGGAAGACTTCCGTGGCGAAGCCATCCATGTCTTGGTGGTCACCAATCTGGTGTCGTTCCACCGGCGCCGCCGAATTTCGTGGGATCACCTGTAACATCCTCTCGCCAGGCGTCACGAACACGGCGGCTAGGATGCTGAGGTGGTCCCAGACCTTTTGGCAACACTCCTCTATCGTGTCGAGAGAGACGCGCTCGGGTACGTCTACGTGGACCATGAAGCACCCCTGTGCCGGATTGTACATGGCCGCGTCGGCGCACATGGCCTGGGTTGCCGTCGTTGGCATGACATCCTGGATATCTTCGAGCGGGAATTCGACGGCCGGCGCAATCGTCTCTCTAATGAAAGCACCGAGTTCTTGCCCTGCCAGGTCATCATCAGAGAGCAGGGTGAACGGCCGTGGCTCCGAGTACGCCGATTGTTTCTTCTGCACCATCTTGACCCGCTTCGCCATGTCGCTGAGGCGCGGACTCTGGAAGATGTCAGCCACAGTCAAGCGCATGTCGTGCTCGTGGGCTAGGGCTACTATGCGCATGGCCTGGATGGAGTCCCCGCCGATGATAAAGAAGTTGCTCTCCGCGCTGATCTTTGATATCTCAGTCTGGTTAAGCACCCGCGCCCAGAGTTCCCTGAGTTGCATCTCCTCGGGAGTGGACGGTTCCCTTGAGGTGATACCCGAGTGAGTCTCGTGTAGAGCGACCAGCTGATCCCGCGTCATCGCGGCTCCCATCTCGCGCAGGCGCTTG